GAAATCCTGGCCCCACTGAAGTTAATGGGAGTCTTGCTATTGACCTCAACAGGGCCAGGATTCCACCTCTCTAACTGCTGCCATTTTAGGGGGTGGGTAAGTTTTATTTTAATTCACTATTCTTGGATGATGTCTTGGGATTTCACTCTGACCACAGATTTTTTTTTTATCAAAGCACAGAAGACATTAGTACTACAATAGGCCTTTATTATAATTTCTCATTGTAAAATAGCACCTTTTTGTAAAACCGGCTCCCTTTTGAAGATTATTAGATATAATTTGCACCATTATAAAATGTGTGTCATGCTCCAGATGGAATAATTGGGCTCCAGATGTAGTTTAGCTTTCATCAGGAGTGATCGGTCCATATTCCAATTCACACTGTTTTGCTTAGGAAATAACTTTAAAGCCCCATCCTTATAGCTTTTGAAGTAGGTATTAAATTAGTTCTCCTTTGGGAATGTAATTTCTATAGCGTCTGTAGCCCTTGTGGCACAGAGTACTATTTATTATAAAGGTCAGATCCTCAGCTGGTGTAAACAATATAGTTCTATTGAAATCAATGTAGCTATGTCTTTATACACCAGCTGAGGATCTAGCCCATGAATGCATCTATAGCTTTGTCTCTAACCTTCCACCTAGCCACAGAACTATCTGCAAACTTGGAAAGCTTTGATTGTTGTATCTATTTAACAAATACCATAAAAGATAGATATGTGAAAAAGTGTTTTATTAATTATGCAAAAAGAACAGGAGTACTTGTGGCACCTTAGAGACTAACAAATATATTAGAGCATAAGCTTTCGTCGACTATAGCCCACTTCTTCGGATGCATATTTATTAATTATGGTTATTTAATTTATGCAAAATTCATACTGGCTTCAATAGGAGGGAAGAGTCTAAATATAAAGTATCAAAGCTACAGCTTAGAGTTCTTTATCCAATTGAGGACCAGAGGCTAAATTGTCATTTAAGGTAATCAGAGAAACAGATTCCTAGAAGAATAGCAATTATTTGCCATGCAAATACTTGCTCAAAGCTGAAATATATGACAGACATAGTTGACAAAGAGCTTAACCTTGAAAGCCAACCTAAAAATGAACCCTGAGCAAGACAAAGATCACACTAAATTAGACATGATGGAGAAAAAATGATTAAACTAGATAGAAACATCCATGAACAGAAAGAAGAATATATCAACCTTGGATAGCCACTTAGATGAGATATAGAAAATAGATATGAAAATCAAAATGTGCTAAGCTGAAGCACTCTACAGGGAGAAGGTGGGCACCATGAATAGTCATCTTCAGCTTAACTGCAGCGGAAGGAAAGTCTCCATCAAGGTATGTGTATAGATAGCATATGACTCAGAGATATTATCCACCCTCAGGGAAAGTTTGCCACCATATATTGAAGTAGAAAAGCTCAATAATAGGAACGAATAAATATTTCCATTATTGTGAACTGCTGTCATAAGTAAAAACATCCTTAATAAAGACAAATCCACTAGCAGGACACTGCTAACCAACCAACAAATGTATTTTCAAAATGGGCACAAAATTCTGGAATGAGCTACAGAGTTGGGAATATTGACTGTGCATATTAACTGAATGAAATCTTTTTACAAAGTAAAATGTTTGCAAAATAATAAATTGGTGGTATTGAAGGGCCTATGTATAATACGTAGCAGTTCCCCTGGTTATGCCCTTTAAGGAATTTCTAGTAGATCTTCAAAATGGTGGTTTCTGCTTCTTGTGGAGGTGGAGTAATTATGCCGATGGGACAGCAATCTCCCATTGGCATAGAGCATCTTCGCCAGACAAGCTACAGCAGCGCAGCTGCATCGGTGCAGCGCTTCTAGTGTAAACCTGCCCTAAGAAATTTTTACTAAAATTGCCATTTTTTGCTACCACAAATTCATTTCCTCTGGTGACAGTAATGATGATGAAAGTGCCTGAGTAGTCACAGAGTTCCAGGTGGCTGTTGGCTCAAACTGTGCTCAGATCAAGTATTTGTGATATGACACTTAAAACACAGGCAGTTGCTGGGTGGGGAAAAAAAGCAACAGAAACAAAACATTTTCATTTTCATCAAAATTGTTCCACCATTATTGGGTGGGGGGGGGGGAAGGGGTTAGCAGTCAAAAATTAAATTGTTTTGACAATTTTGCTTGATGAAACCTGAAAAATATTGTCAACAATGGATATTTCCTGCAGAAATGTCCATTTCCATAAGATAGCCATCGTCTGTCCAAAAATCTTTGACAGATATTTTTTTACTTGCTCTACTACTATTGCTACTGCCTTGCCTATACTAGTGTTTCCACCATACTTCCACCATAAGCTGAATCATTGATAGTAAAGGTGAAAATGTTTAGTTAAAATGCTCTATGGTAATATTCTGTCTCCACTGAAGTCAATGACAAAACTTCATTGATTTGTATAAGGTTAGGCTTTCACTTCTGCTATACAAAAGGCCTTACTTAGTTGGTATGTCTGATGTCCATGTAGTCACCTGCATAATTTTTAGAGATGTCTAAAAAGGACTCCAAATTCTAGAGCTCATTCTTTTTAGCATATGTGCAACGTGCATCAGGTGGCACGTGACCAGGATTCATCACCAAATTTGGTCTGCTGGTTGGATCAGTAGCTTCCCCAGCCCGGTGCAGGTACTGATGGGGAGTGTGACGTGAATGCTGAGCTCACTGGACAATATGAATTCCCTCGCTATACTAATTTACTGTATTGCAAACTTGGGGCCAGATATTGCTCTCATTGAAGTCCACTGTGAAACCGCAACTGACTGTAATGGGGACAGTATTTTCCACATCTCTTTGTTCTAAAACAACTTCTGAAATTCTAATAGTTCTAGACAAGGGATCAGCAACCTTTGGCACGCAGCCCTTCAGGGAAATCCCCTGGCGGGCCAAGACAGTCTGTTTACTTGCAGCATCCACAGGTACGGCCGATTGCAGCTCTCACTGGCCGCAGTTCGCCATTCCAGGCCAATGGGGACTGCAGGAAGCGGCGGCCAGCACATCCCTCAGCCCATGCCGCTTCCCACAACCCTCATTGGCCTGGAACGGTGAACCGCGGCCAGTGGGAGCTGCGATCAGCCGAACCTACAGACCCTGCAGGTAAACAAACCGTCCTGGCCCGTCAGCAGATTTCCCTGATGGGCCACGTGCCAAAGGTTGCTGATCCCTGTTCTAGACCATGAGGTAAGAATTCTAACAGACATAAAAAAGTTAGCCTAAGTAGCAAGAATGAAAATAATATTATTTTAAATCCTTTGAGTAGTAAAATTGTGATATTATTCCACTACATTGTGATTTATCATACACTGTTAGTAAGACCACCCAAAATTGGAGTACAATAGTGAAACTGAATGGCGAACATTTTTAATTCATATATGCTGTTTTTAACACAGCCATCACTGTGACCTTCAAAAGGTCACTGAAGTCAATGGAAAGACTAATATTGATTTGGATAAGCTAAGAATCAGACTTTAGAGTATTAAAATTCTTCATAATACACTTTTGTTTTCTAGGCAATTGGTGAAAAGTATCAGCAAAGGTCATCACACAACTGGTATAAAAATAAACTTTTCTTAACTTGTGGTCACTTTAATGCTAAAGTATAAGTAGTAAAGAAAAATTATATTGGTGATTTATTACCAGTCTGTCATTCTTGTGGGATATTATGAGTGATGTCTATATTCATCTCATAGATTCATGGATTTTAAAGGATCAGTATCAACATCTAGTCTGCCCTTTTGCATAGCACCAGCCCAGTAATTCCTGCATTAATCAGGAAACCCCTGGTTGAGCTGCAGCATCTCTTTTAGAAAGAAAGCATATTTGCAGATGGGAGAAGAATAGCTCCAGCTTCTAATTTAAAAGTTTTATCAACAAACACAGAGAAGTCCATCTCTGCATATACTGAAGCAAATTTTCAATGGATTTCTAACTGTGTGGCTAAATTACATTTTCTTTGTTATAAAATGGACTTCACCAGATATTTTGTTCAACAAATACTGTGATGACTTTTCCTGATTAATAATAAAGGATCTAAACCATAAATGATCTCATGTTAGCCAGTTGAAATTTGTACTTTTATAAGATAATAGTATGAATTCACAGCCATGTACTTAATATTGCCAAGTCTGAGAAGGTTAGTAGCCATACTAATTCTAAGAATGTTTTTCCTTTGTGTTAATGGGGTACAGCATGAAAAAGTGTTCTATATCATGTCCATATGAATATGGCAAATAAATTAATTTTGTTGAGTTTGTTATGCTAGGATTAAAATCAGAGGATGTTGTACAGAAGTCACTGTGGATACAATGTGGGTAACTATAAACTATATCAATATAAGTGCTACATAAGTGTACATTGATGCTTCCAGCAAACACTTCTGCTCTAATCAGGACTTTGAAAAAGGAATCAGCAAACGAAAGTATTGAGTACCGAGTAAAGGAAAGTTTGACTCATATGTGCAAAAATGTCATCTTTTCCTGTGCAATTTTGTTTTACCGAATTAGCATTTTTACACTGAGACCAATATGTTCAACAAGTTGTCGCATTAACCTTATTAATCAATCTCTTTAGTTGCTTTCAAAACAGCCCCAGAACATTCAGGACCATATTTCATGTACTCATTCAAAGCATCTGCTAAAGAGATATTATATGTTTTTTAACCAACAGAATAATCGTCAACCTGATAAAATGGATTCAGCAGCAAGCTTTACTTTAGAGAGACACAGATGTTCAGTTTAATTACATTTACTTATTTCCAATCTATGAATATTTACTATTACAGACAAGTTGATATACTGGAGTTCTAGCTAGAAAAAAAACAACCTTTGAAGCTCTGATTACATGTAAAAAGAGCACACTAATTTTTCTCCTGGATCTAGTAATTTAGAACACTCTAGCATTGCTGCTATCGAAGTACAATCATTTGCTCCACCACAACCCTCAAGAATTATAAGGGACCTACCTTAGAAAGCCCGCCTACTTCCAAATAGAAGCAGATAATGAAAACATTCCAGGTGACCCAGAGAGCAGTCCACACCGTGTACTAGACAAAAAGCCAGATGACAGCAAAAAAGAAAGAAAAATAAAATGTGAAGATGGAAAGGCTTTATACTGAGCAGATCAATACTTTTTTTTAGAAAATACATCAATAAATATAGTTCTTCTAGGAACCAAAAAACAGGAAGAGTCCAGAAACAGAGTTCTCCTGGCTCAAGTCCCTTAAGAACCATAGCAAATTACAAATCCAATATTCTCTCCTGCTCTAAATACATACCAATAAAAATTAGATTTATTTTTATGATGTTAGACTAGCCTCTTGATACCAGTTAATTCCAAAATGCTGACTTGATCACTGTTTTTTATGCATTTGTGACTCATGTGTATATCATTATTCTGCTCTGTTGCTGGAAATCCCAGAACAGTACAGTAATTTAGGTGTGCTATACCCTGCTAAATGTTTAGAGGAAACAAGTAGGAAAAAACCCACAAACAAACAAGAAGTCCCATTAGTCTGGTGCATGGATTTGCAGTGTTTTTGAAGCCATGTTGGTCCCAAGATATTAGAGAGACAAGGCAGGTGAGTTAGTATCTTTTATTGCAGCAACTTATATTGGAGAAAGGGACAAGCTTACCAGTCCCCAGACCTGAAGAAGAGTTCTGTAAAACTCATAAGCTTGTCCCTTCGACCAACAGAAGTTGCTCCAATGAAAGATATGACCTTATCTATTGTGTTTCTCTGATATTTGGATGTCATTTGAAATCATCAGGCAGGTGAAATTAAAGCTAAGCTTAGTTTCCATGAACTTTCTTCCAGTAAAAGGTATTTTAACAAGAAGTTACGATATCTTTTCAACTGACTCTGTTTGTTGGTTTTGTTTTTTTTCCTCATATTTGCCAAGAAGTAGACAGCAGAACAAATTCAGAACTGGCATGAATGGGTATAATTCTGAAATCAGTGACACTGCACCAACTTATACCACAGTTCAGTTTTGTCCTGTGAATTTAAAGGTAGCAAGAAACTTAGGCCATGACCCTACAATGAGCTCCAGGGAGATGGACTCCTGAGGCGACATGGATCTCCTCTGGGGACCCTGGCACTCCATGCTGGTGCAGGGATCTGTTCACACAGAGCACACTGCATGACTGGAAAATCAATTTTTATTACTATCCAGATGCTGTTTACAATGGGAATGCACAATTTCCCTATATGGTATTGTGAAACTTTGCAAAATTAGCTATCCAAATGTTCTAGTTCAGAACCATTTATGTATGAAGAGCTAATTGCACAAGAAGCAATGCTGGAGCTACACCCAACTAAACTGTGTAATGAGACGCTGCAATGGCATTGCCACTTTACATTTACAGCTTTACAATGGAGAATTGCGCTTAGCAGCTTTGAGGGTCTAATTTGGTGTGACCTTCTCAGGATAACATGCTATTGTTTTGCCTCAATATACTCTCTAAAACCAAGTACCCTAATCTCCAATATGCCCGATCCCTTTTCTAATCCAATGATACTGTTAGTTTGACTTTGTTGTACAATTTTCATTGTTTCCTTCTTCCTCCTCCTCCCTGAGGTCTATAATGAAAGATTCATATGAAGGGGGTTGATCTTTTTCATAGACCCCTGTACTTCCGTGGCTTCTATACACAAAACAGGTTAGTTAAATTTAATTTGTTATAATGTATAGTACCCACGTGGCTTGAGGATAAGTATTACGTCAATGGCAAAGAATTACTGTACAAAGTAAGAGCAACAGACCTGGCCAATCTCCTGTATGTTACAGAGAAGATCAGTGTACTACCTGAGGCCTGCTTTTAACCTTTTATTTAAACAGCAATAAAACTGTTAAAATTACTATGGTCTTTCTGCAGTAAAGGTTTTGGCTTTTTATCATTATTATTTACTTAAATGGGATAGTGTCATTTTCATCACATACAGACTCACTACAGACTCTATATCAAAGGCAATAACTGATTTATATGTATGCAGTAACCAAGTTGTGTTGTGATGTGATGTGTATCTTCGGTGCACTGAGCAGCTAATACCAATGTGCCAGAATTTTACTCAGGTTTAGCCATAATGGTTCATAAAAGCAGATTTCAAAATAGAAAGGGGAAATCCATTTTTTAAAACCATATTAGCGAACTGCACAGGTCTACATTAACATGTCAACTGATATTTAGTAGTAATGGGACAGCTGCTTCATCCTTCATACCAGGACAAATCCTGCAAAACCTGATCCTGGTCCCCCTAGCTTCATTTCCAGAAATGTGTTGATTGAAATTTCCAAAATAAATTCAGCCTGAGGTGGACACCGATCATGGACAATTTCAGCCCAAATAGTTAACATTTGGCAAAGTTATAAGCAACTGAAAATAGGATCGTATAATGGGAAACATCGGGCAACCTTAATAATAGGCCACTAGCTCTGTGTAAAATATTTCATGAGGGAGACTTGCTTGTTTAAATTTGTTTCTTTTTCTCTTTTGAAATTCTGCTTTTTTATATATAGGTCTGAGTCAGAATTGATATATATCTATAAATATATCTATAAAGCTATATCTATAAATATGTACAAATTAATATAATAGTAATGGAATATTTATATAGCTCCTTTCATTCTGAGGGGTCTCAAAGCATTTTGCATATTTAAACTGATACAGAAATTACATTTAATCCCCCAGTGCATTGCAGCCATTTTTGGAGTAAAACACAGCAACTGTTTAACAATGCCCAGTGCCACTAAGCAGTTCAGGACAAAAAGTGTGCAACCGAAAGGGGCAGGCTGGAGACTCTTGCCTACATGCTCGGGGTTTTACTGATCGCCATATTTGGGGTCGGGAAGGAATTTTCTTCCAGGGTAGATTGGCAGAGGCCCTGGAGGTTTTTCACCTTCCTCCGCAGCATGGGGCAGGGATCGCTAGCAGGGGGGTTCTCTGCCAATTGAAGTCACTAAGCCACAGGATTTGGGGACTTCAACAGCAGAGTCAAGGGAAGGGGTAGGGACGGCTTTGTGGCGTGCAGCATGCAGGGGGTCAGACCAGATGATCATAATGGTCCCTTCTGACCTTAAAGTCTATGAGTCTATGAGACGTTCCGGAGTTTGTATTTGACTAGGATACTGAGATTGATACTTTAGATTTTATGAAAAATGGTCATAAGTAGCCATTCAATTTTATCTCTCATCTGAAATGCAGTACCTCCAGTAACACAGTGTCCCTGACTCTATAACAGTATATTGGCTCAGTGCTAATTCAAGGGAAGAAAGGCAACTACTGAGTCATACATCTAGGTGTGCCCTGGAGGTATCACAAGTATTGACAGAGCCCAACTCAACTTAATTTATGAGAGATGAGTGGGAATCATAGAACAAGGCAATATGATAGAACATGAATACTGTCAGGGCAGGATTTACCAAAGTATTATAGACAGTATCACAAAGCAGCTTTGAATACCTAAATATTATACACGTTTTTGAAGCTGTAAGGTTCTGTGTGGAATGAATTTTCCTTGATCAATGTATATGGCATTTCTATATGTCCTAATTTCTTTCTGTTTTAAATCTAACTCACTCTAGGTGTTTATACTGCACACATCACCAGGCTATAACAGCACCTCATATATCATATTATTTAATTGAGTAAATTAAGCTAATTAGATCCACACTCAGTTTAGGTTAAAGTGTCTTATTTTCACATCTCATTGTACAATAATACATTTATGCTGAGCTAGGCCAGGTTTGCACCATCTTAACCATGTGACTCATCATTCTGAGTGTTTTTCAACTTCATCACAGTGCTAGGAAAAAAAAACTTTAACAAGTATTCTGTTAGCATTATTAATTGATCCAAACAGATTAGAAATATTGCTAGCTATGGGAGTTCTGTGAAGAAAGGAAAAGAATGTATAGAGAAATGGACCATGGTATAACTTCACAGCTGTGTGATTAGTATATTACATTGTGGGTTAGAATTCAAATTGAATTCTTCTTTGTTCTTTGCAAATTAATATTTGTATACATTTCAGATGAGCTAATATAAGAAAATTATGAACCAGTTTTTCATTTTGATGCCGGCCGGGAACTTTGGTCAGATTAATCTCATCCACAAAGTTTTCAAGTGTCATAAATGTTATATCTGCTAAATGACATGGTGGATTGTTTTCGGAGCTGTATTTAAATTAGAAGTTAAGAGAAAAAAAGAGTTAAAATAATGGAACTGTTTGACTTAAGATAAGCAGTATATTCAGAGTTGAGGCTGTCATTTCATTCCATCTTTCTCTCACCATCGGTTGGCTAGGTTGCACTAAAGGTCTCAGACTTTTGGAGGACATTACACAGAAGCGATGGCTAGACATGACTTCTTCCATCCTGGAAGCCCATGGGATTGTGCCTTTTCTTGCAGGTGCAGCCCTGGCCACAGTGATCCTTGCTTTCATCATGTTAAGGCAGTGTTTCCCAAACTTTCTCATGGAGTGACCCCCTTTACACTCACCTCTGTTAATGCAACCCCCGATACTTAGCATTCAGGTTGGCTTTGCACAAATGAACACTCTATTTTAATAGTCTCCTTTGAAAACTATGGGTGGGTAGCCAGGCCCAGATTAACTAATGTGCATTCAGTGCACTTGCACAGGGCCCCCATTTGAGAGGCTCCAAACCAAAGAAAAAAAGGAACAGGGAACTAGTGGCCTGGGGACCACATCCAGCCCATCAGATCATTTTATTTAGCCTGCCACATCATGTGCCTGCCACCCCACTTTCCGATCTCACCATGTTGGCTCCTGCATCCTCCACATGGAGCCAGTGACCTGGTGCTGGCCCTAGAAGGCATGCTGCCATGGATGCTGTGAGAGTGCTCTGTTGTTTCAGGTGCAGTTAGTGCTGCCTAGTGCCCCTAGCACTGTTTGCTTAGAAGCTTTCTTGCATTTTCTTTCTTCCCCTCATCTCGTGACCCTCCTAGTACCCTTTTGCAAAAACTGCTGCCTTAAAGACAATAGTGCATCTACTATAACATGTGTTAGCTGGCCCAATTGTGAAG